AGTGTCTAGTAACAGCTGCTGTGAACATGGGAATGAACATCGGTAGACATAATTTGTAGACTAGGTGCCTGAGTAGCTTCTTTGATTCAATGCGGTATAAGATTGATATCATAATTTAGTTAAAAATTACTGCAGAAATAAATGTGTACTTAATATAGTTTAATTTTAAATTTTTGACATGTATGAAGTGAAGGAGGACAATTACAGGGTGTATACGAAAGAATGGTGCGGTTTCAAAAGTTATCCTCTCCTCAAAAACCGGCTACATGGATCGGTTAATCAGGGAAGCCATCGAGATCGAACTTCATCCTGATCCCAGACCTGGTGTAGCATGTCCGGTTTAATGGCCTGCAGTGCATGCGTTATCCGATCACGAAGTTCATGGATGGACGTGGGCAATGGTGGTACATAAACGCTGTCTTTAACGAACTCCGAAAGAAAGAAATCGCACGGTGTAAGATTCGGCGAACGGGGTGGCCAAGGGACACCTCAAAACGGAGCACACAGAAAGCCTTCTCCTGCTGCAACGCCATCTTTGAAACTGGCCCCGCGGCCACGCAGTAAGCATGAGAAACGTGGACAGTTGCCGCCACTGACGGTGTATGTTGTGTCCGTGTAAGTTAAGAAATAATTTTTTATTAACTTTTGAAACCGCACCATTCTTTTGTGTATACCCTGTACTTAATAACCAGTTAAGTAATTCTCCGTGTTTATGTAATCCAAAAATTCATTACCGTTTACACACGTGCCTGTCTATCCCTAACCTGTTTAATGCAGTCAAAACTTTAAACTTTCCATTTCTTTAGCATTCATATAATAGGGCAGCAATTAGCATGCTACCCTATTCTACGTGCGCTTCTTCCAAGCGGTATCGTCTCTAAGCGTTTACAGAATAAAATTATACATTCATTTGTTTTGACCATTATGCCGTTATCCACAATTATACACGTTGTTATTATCCAGAAGACCAACATCGACAGCGACACTGCCGTGAGGACCTCAAACTTCATATAATTAACTAACTAGATGGCTTACGAACCCGAAGGTTCATCACCGAACTAACTAAAGCCCTCCACCGGACCCTGTCCTGGGCCAACAAAATCCAGTTTCCTTCAACTCCTATCTCCCATAGATTCCGCCTGAGATTATCCTTCCATCTACGTCTAGGTCTCCCCAGCGGTCTCTTCCACTAAATCTCCTACACCTAGTAAAATATTCTTAAATTTCTGTTATTGGACCATGCATTCTTCGAAATATTTCGGAGGACCAGACAATGAATTTTAGTTGAAATCCATTTGAAACACATTTCCTCATCTAAAATTTTGTACGACAGTCGCCTACTCTTTGCCCTTTTCTTGTATCTGCAATGTAATCAATGTTCTATGTAAATTCTTTTGACAGAAATTTAACTACACAATTTCTTGCGAGGCCCACAGACAACTCGCCCACTCGTAATCGGCCTTGCCAGTAGCGATAATCGAGAGCGGGTTGGAATGACAGAGTAAAGTTGGGAACAATGGCTTCCCACGCAATGCGGCCGACTCATGGACTCCAACCGAAGTTTCTCCAGCCATAAGCTGTGGACTCACATTCATCGTGACCGCGTCACGAAACGGAAGTCAGAGACAAATCAAGAGTTAACAAAGCTCTCTTAATTTTTTGAAATCTAAACTCTCGAAGGAACAGTCAAATTTTCGATAAAATAAAGATAAGAATAAATAAAACAATTTGTCTGTTGTTGGTGTATCGTCTTCGCGTCACAGAGGTGGACTACCTGTCAGGGGCTGTAGGTGACGTCTGACTCATTTATAAGCGATCTGATACAGATACTAAAAACCATGTTAGCAGGCACCAAAAAGGACGCTTCAAAGTCATATAAAAATCGAAGCGTTGCAAACGAACAGCAGAGGCAAAGCGAGTGTGAAGACAGTTCAGAACTTGCACCGTAGCAAATCTATCAACGCTGTAATTGTAACTTGGAGCCACGCAGTAAAGGTGAAATCTTTCCTTGTCGGTTTTCTGCAAGGATTGTTAACAGTGGTTACAATATTTCTTGGCAGCTGAAGACTGCCTCTGGAACAGAGCCGATTCATTTATTACTTCAGTTGAAACAGATTTTTATTCCGGGCGTTTACTGTAATCAGAATTGAACACGTCCATTAAGTAATCATTCTTTAAATTTTGAGTCCAGAGTAACAGCAAAAATCAAGTGACCGGTCAGTGGACAGTGTTGAAGTGTATGTACGTTTTACTGCACGTTTGTCACATACGTGTCTTGAATAATTAGGAATGGGCAATTAAAACATGGGTCAACATTATAATTAAAACATGTTGGAAAACTGAAGTTGTAACATGTTCAAAGAAAAGTCTGTCAGCTGAGTGTTGACTCGCGGAAAATACGCTGTAATTCTGAAATGCTAGTAACTTGAAGAAAGAACAAATGTATGATTACATGCATAATTAGAGAAGAAAATTACATCTCGTTATATGTATATTGTTTCACCTTTGCGTAAGTAAATTCAATAGTTTAATCTCGGTTATCTGAACATAAAAACAGCCTCGCCTTGTCGTAGGGAAATGGTTAAATTCTGTAAGCTCTTCAGAACTGCAGCGTCGAGATACAGTCCATTCAAAGATGAAATACACTCTATATGCCTGACTCGAATCCATGGCTAACTAAGTTCGTAACAAAAATGAACAATATGTCGGGAATTAACCTCCTCTTTAAAGAGAAATACAAACAAGGATTCGGTAGGATTTGATTTTTATACAACGGTGAGTATCCATCGCTCTGATGATGGAGGCAGCAAGGACTTCTGAAACGTCTGTAAACTTCTATCAGCTATAAGGTGCAACAACCCAGAAGACAGCCATCTTCGTTGGTAAACTTCTGTCAGACTACAACAGAATTCGTCATGCGGTCCATAACTCTCGTGTTTTTAAAAGAAAATGATTGCGGGTAAAAAATACGGGGGCAGTGGTGCAAACTGACCGTTAAAAGGGCTCAAAATTAGATAGTTTATCAGATGTTCAAGTAACTATCTACATATCGGATCGTTATGATTATACACAACAAAATACCTTCAATTGGATCTACATCACAGCCTTACAACTTTCCTTCCCTCAGATTCGTTTTAACATTATCCCTTTATGTTCTGTGATAAAATACAGTGCATTGGCGTTAGAAATTTCGCTTTACCTTCTCTGAGGCCCACGGATCCTCCTGTAAAATCCGAACCTTGGATATAAAACGACCGAAGCGTAATCCTTACTGGTCATCTCTAATTACTGCCGAGGTTTGAAAATCGTTTAGCTTTACAACAGAGTGGAGCTTAGACAGAGACTTTATCTTTGTGCTACAATTATTTAAGCGACTCTCCTTAATTTCCCATTCTAATTCTGCTGTACGCAGTGCCGACACAAGAAATAAGAATCAACTTCACAGACCAGTGCATATTATGTAGGCGTCAAAATTTTCATCAGTTTACCACGAAATCTCACAAGTCTTAAAATAAAAGGGCACAATTTAAGTAGCTTTAAAAAAATACTTAATTATACACCCCTTTTAATCCGTTGAAAAATGTTTAATGTTCACAAATAGGACATAATATTCATTAAGGCTTTCTTATCTTCATGTAACTCCATTATAAATGGAGATAATTTATCATCATCATCTCTGCACTAATTTCCTTGACGGACCTTGGTCTCCTCACACATGAGAGGTTACTTTATCTAGCTAGACATTTGTTAGGACTCTTTGGACGACTAATCAGCCCTTTACAGCTGTATATATGGGTCGATGTATCTGTCACCACCCGCGTCTTTTACCCCCTCTTCGTGTGACAAGCTGCATGCAGCAGTTAAGCCCTTCAATATAACCAACAGTGCTGAAAGACTTAATTTTTTTTCATTAAAAAGACGTACCGGAATTATCTCATATAAAACTGCGTGTTACCCGAGGTCTCAGTCTAGCTTGCGCTGTTATGTTACGCTCTCCCGTATTTTACTCTTTATGATATTGCATTTAGACGGAATTGTGGAATCTAAACGTAACGTAAAAGTGACAAAGAAAGAAATATTTTAAGGTCATGTCACTAGGTAATAAAATAAAAATTGTAGATAAGTTTCACTGTGGTATGTGATCAGCAGCAGTTGGACTAAAATTCCGTTCATGTTATATTTTACATTTTACGTTACTGTTTAACATTCGTTACTTTATCATACCACGTAGTTTGTTAATAAATATCATTAGAATATATTAATAAATTTTATTTTTATTTTCCATGGGCAGTTTCCAGTGTTCTAATCTCCATAAAAAAATAATTTCCCAAAGACACTAATTTCACTCCCGCACTGCTAGTTAACCGAACTGCAAGGCCGAAAAAATTTGGAGGGGGGGGGGGTTGTACAAATTTCACGCCCCGTGTCGTTCAATTGTCTGCGACGGTGGTGCTCTCTGATGGCGTCATACAGTTTCTGCGCCGACGCCGTATAGTGGCGACGTCCAGCGAGCAAGGGTTGGTTGCCTACAGTTAATGAAACGGAATGATGGCAGAGCGGCTACTGTCGGGCTGAAGTCAACAAGGTAGTCTCGAAGTCGTGCTACTGGTCGGATAAAAAGATAAGAAGGCACAAAGAAGAATAAGAAGCAAGTACGTGTTCACTGTGGACGAGACGAGTTATGGGAACCCATCGAATTTTCAGCCATGAATCGGATTGCACCTGTGATACCGAGAGTGAGAACTGCGACTACAATGTGAATGTGGGGACTACGCGATTCCATCTTGACCATCCTCCTACTAGCACTGAGCTTCTGCTGCAGCCAGAGTTCCAGTAAACAAGGTAAGGTGTCATTGTAATCTCTACACCAGGTGTCTGTGCTAGAATCCGGCTTCTTGTCATATCAACTAGCAACTTTGAGGTCTACACACTTTTATAATACGCAGGTGTTTCTAGTGGCAGTCACAATATTTTTGCGTAGATCTCTAAACGCGACCAAAGGCGATCTAAAATTGACAACTTCTAGAGTTTTCGGACAGATAAAATATAATATTGTTTATTCTTAATGTAGTAATTAGCAGCCATTTAATGATGATTAATATAAAAGCTATCTTGTGACTCAAGTGGTAAGGTTTCTAGCTATCCCGCCATGTAGGCGCTCGGGGGGAGGGGATATAGCTCCGACTCATTCTTAACCTCGGCGCTAGATTGGGGTGAGTGGTCAGCGTCACGCCCCGGTCGCACTCAAGTGGTAAAGTATTACGACCAGAAAAAAAATCACTAAATTTGTATAAAGTGCTGCAGAAGTCAACAGTTTGTTTTTTTGTAACTAAAGTGTACGTTTCAATATCTTTAATTATATAATACACTTTTAAGAAAAGTATATGGATATGATATATGTCTACGGATTGCTACTTTAAAGTAATTACTGACGTCATGAAAGTGAACACACAAAGCCGTTAGGTGGCGCTACGCCCTATTGATAATGAATTTTGAAATAGAAAATGATACAAATTATTCAATAACATCGTTGTTAGTTTGTAATATTTGACGGCGTATTTTAAGATAACGGCGTTTATAACAGATGACGCAATAAACACGGACGGTTCATTGTTTATTTAATATTACTTTTGATTAAATTTAATTAATTGAACAAAGGTAGTTTAAATTGAAAATAAGTGACCATAAAACTAATAATGCTTGAAATTACTAAAATATAACTTCTGTAGTGTCAGAGAAAATTAAAATGTGACGTTCTGCTTTCCGCTGCTAAATTCAGAGTTGATAAGTTTTACTGATTCATGATTTAACGACATCCCATCGTCTGAAGAGATAAATTTGCATCAGATACAATAGAAAGTAAAAGACCCAGACAGCTAACACCCAGGTAATGTCGCCTACCACAGAGGTTTCAACTTGGGTAACAGTTAACGGATTACTTTAAACTAAATTGTTCAAACATTCAAATGCATTGTCCCTTTCCAGGGTGTGTAAAAGAACTTACGAATAATTATCTTGCCGTGGTCTGTTTTAGTAATTTAATAAATCTTCAAAATGTAAATTATTAAGCTTTCCAGGTGTTAACTATTTTAAGGTCCTATCATACTATTCATCTGTCCCTTCGAAAGTATAACCACTAACCATAGTACTAGTTAGTAATAAAATTTGTTCAGTCCCTATACCATACTGACATTTATAATGCAATGGGTCTTGCTACCAAACCACAACACGTGATTTAAAATTTTAGGCGTCACATCGTTTCACTTTATTAATTATCATAGACCATCATTATATTTGGATCATTAATATCAAATTAAGGTCAAGTGCAATGCAACATGCTTCGCTGAATTCGCTTGAGGTCTCGCTGCAACGTGCTGGCATTACTAGCCTCATTCATGGACGAAGTAATCGCCCGGCTGGAAACGACTGCGACATCGATTTTATTCTACCGTGCTTTGTGTGCTGGGTTGCCTACGTGTACAGGGAGGAACTCTTGTGTGTCAAGCCCTGCAAGAACGATTTCATCGTCCCTTAAAACAGCTTCTCCATTATTACAGTGTTAAAATAAAACACGTACTTTAATTTATTACCTAACTATGTCCACAGAACCAGACATTAATTCAGAAGTTGATAATTGCTCAGCTGTCCAAAAAGTTTCAAACCCTTCATGAAACACCAAGTTTCATAACCGTGTTAACAAAAGTCCACCACATAACTCTACAACAATCAGTTGAATATAGTCCACAACCTGTTTCTTTGAGATAAATTTTAATATTATTCTACCAACTATGCCTTGGTCTCTCCAGTAGCATCTCTTTACATTTCGCGACCACAGTTTTATATGCGTTATCATGTCTCGCGTGTGTGTTACATTTACCGTGTTCTTATATTTGATTACACTAATATGGATCAAAATGGTGAAGGGTACAAATTATAAAGGTATTTATTGTGTGACTTTATTTTACCTCGACGTATTTGCTGATTATTAGGTCCAGAAATTCTCAGTACGATGCTTTGTTCTGACACTCACAGTTCGTGAATTCCGTTCAGGCTGAAGGATTAACATTTACCACGACAGATAAATTTATTTTCATTAAATTACACTAGGTCAAATTATAAGATACATAAACCGGTGAAAATATAAACAGATGATTCAGGTTAAGTCAGCAATTATGGTGAAAATATCATAAGCTGTCAGCTGTAAGATGCTGAGAGTTTCGTTTCAATAAAGGGATTTCATTTTTCACGCCATTTGTCATCCACGTTGAAGAAACTCCGTACCTAAATATCCCTTGATACATTTAATGATCAGAATTACATATGTGTTTTATAACATTTGATCTATATATATTACTTAAACTTGTTTTCAATTTCATGAATGTTGCCAAGACAATTTTTTGTTCAAGAATGCGGTCAAGGCGGCAACATACAAACGTACGGACCATACTTGCTAATTTACTTATGTAACGCTCCCATATCGACTGCAGCTGTTGTTTGCCATTGATTGAGACGAAGAATATTAATAGTGAATTGCAAAGGAAGGAAAATAAAAAATCGTGGCCGATTCTTAAGCCCTATCTTGCGTGCTATATGCTCCGCCCATGTAAACCTTGATCTGTTCACCATAGCCAGATATTATTTTTTAAAGAGTAAAAATTATGAAACTTCAAATTACGCAATTTTTTCCAGCCTTATCTTACATATTTTATCTCGTATCAAAATATTTTACTCAACAAAAGTAATTCTTATAGTTTCTTTTAGAAAGTTTAAAAGAAGTGGTTCCTACAAACAATACCAAAGCTTATTTTGATTTAATATTTGTAAAATAAACGCTAAATTATTTTCCTAAAACCTCTGAACAACTTTCCACATAGGATCTTCTGCCTTTAGCGTGATATTTGTAAAATATTCTTTCGCTACTAAAAATTATCATTCCTCCTTTCAACCATTTCATTATAAACAGTCATATTACTGTATTAACATAAAATATTTTCAGTTCGGTTGGAAAGTTACACTGTTGTTATAGCCAACTAGTCGCATCTAGCCACAAGAACTGCCCATGTCGTAAACCTCAGGCTGTCTGAGTTGGCAGCGCAGTAACCTTATTAATGAATTTGTGGACAGCTTTTTCCTTAGTGTCCCAGAGAACATTCTTCTCACTTTTCCACACAGTTTTGAATTTACATAATCTAGTACTGATATCAAACTCTTTATTTAGTGCTACAATATAGCTCAATGTCACCGTCGGTGGGTTAGCGTACTCGCCTCGCCACCGGACAAGAGGTTCGCGGATTCAAACCCAGCCGAGGTCGATGGATTTTTTTAAGAGTGATAAAACTGCGTAGCACAACTTCCTTCGTAGATTTACGGCATGTAAAAGAACGTTACGAGCATGAACGAGGTGTTTCGTAAGCAAAATTCAGCGGTTATTTCTCACCCAAGTCTCTCTTGATTCACTACTAGGTGGCTCTAGCAGACAAAAATCAGGATTAGGTAGAAATTGTGCAGAGTCAGTGGGTTTGTCACTCACTACTCACAAACGCACATTTCAAAGACTAGGAAACCTCGGAAAAGGAGGCGGCCAATACCCACAACTGGTTTGTAGAGCGAAGGGAGGACATAGCTGAATAATTAACCATTTAAAAGAAAATTGTTTTGAATCTGGACATTAACTCTTAGAGGCCGGTATTTGATGAAATTTTGATGTTAGCACGGGGGAGAGCTTCGTTACAGCTGAATTTTATGTGAAAATTTCGAAAGCTGCGTATTAATGCTATTCACAGTGCAGTTTACGGTGAGAATTAAAATAAACCCTTGAGTACAAAATCAGAGTTACTGATCGTTAAAACAGGCAGTACATATAATTACCACGGGGCATTAAACAGTAAAGAATATTAAAATTGTCTCCTTATATATTGGGAAATGTGTACGGAACATTATAATTAATTTATATTACCTTTAATGACTATGTAGGGGTAAAATTTGCTTAAGGTAAAGAATAGATACATTATTTATGTTAGACTTATATATTTTTACAAAAAAATTATACGTTAATATATATAGTATAAGGACTTAATCGAAATACTTTTTCATAAAATTAATCAAATAAATTTAATGTAGATTGTATATATTGATATGGGCCTACTTTTGATGGTTTATAAGTTTTGTATGATTATAAAATGTACTTAGTTTCTCGGGGACGGCATTTCCCGTGTTTAGTATTTTATTTTTAAATTTAGGAAGTCCTTTCTCAAGTGGTATCGTACCTAATTTTTTGCGAGAATACATTTTTAAGACGGCAGCTTTCAAAAGGCAACTTTATATGAAATTGAAATTATCAGGATGGCAACTTTGTGAAACAATCTTCAATTTACGTTCTTTATAGACGAATATTAGAGTTAAATATGAGAACTTCGGTACTGAGGACAGATACATCTTTCTAAAGTGATAATGTAATATTTCTGTCTGTTTGCAGCAGTAATAACATGATGATCACATGTATGTCTGTTGACAAAGTGAAATGACATATCACCGCCATATGCATGTTTGCATTCTCTGTGACGTTCCATGCTGAGTGACCACTATACCTCTCCACCCCTTCGCTACACACAATTTGTTACTTGTATTAATCATTATATAATCCTGCACACATATAATAAATTTCCCCGTGCTTAAATATCACGCCATGATGACGTATGGAAAGTAGAGAAACAGCTCTGTGAATTTTTAACCGGACAATAATAACGCCGGCTGCTTTATCTACTGCATCCATTGGATAACAGGACAGATCTGGACAGGGAGGGGAAGATAAAAATTCTTGTCCCTGTCGGGGATGAAATCCT